CTGAAATGACATGCAATGATTGCTCTAACATATTCTTCTATCAAATTAAATTCAGTGCAATTAGAATGCATGATATGGGCTGGTCCTTTCTTACCCCATGAAGGCTGCGATCCTGTCTTACCCCATTTGACTATAACCCACCAGATGGTAGTCAGTGGTGTAGGGAGGCCCAGGCTCAGCACCATCGAACAGGTAGGGGTGGTTGGCACACTTGCGCAGCTGCATGAGGATGTTCTGCAGGCGCATCTTCTCCACGCGCCCCGCACCGTTCACGATATCGATGTCCTTCATGAGCACCTTTGTGTACCTGCGTGGCAGAGGTTAGTTACATCGTGTACCTGCGTGGCAGAGGTTAGTTACTTTGTGTATCTGCGTGGGAGGGGTTAGTTACTTCGTGTACCTGGAGTTCATGAACCATCATGGCGTTCATGAACAATCATGGCGTTCATGAACCATCATGGCGTTCATGATCCATCATGGCGTTCATGAACCATCATGGCGTTCATGAACCATCATGGCGTTCATGAACCATCATGGCGGTTATGAACCATCATGACGTTCATGAACCATCATGGCGTTCATGATCCATCATGGCGTTCATGAACCATCATGGCGGTTATGAACCATCATGACGTTCATGAACCATCATGGAGTTCATGAACCAGAATGTTGTTAAGGAACCAAGGTGATATTCCAAAACTCAAGTCGAGGCATAGAACTTGTACACTTGTTCATACCACCAATGTTAATCACTCGTGCTTTACGTCGTATGAGCGATTAGAAGAAAAAATCAAGTAACTGACATTTGAGGTTAGGTGGCCACAACATCATCGTGATTCGCTGGAGTTAATATGTATTTTATAGATCGACTACTGTTAATATTTTTTGTGAAAGATTGAGGATTCAGTTCTCACTAAAATAAAAGACTAAAGCAGTCTTCCAAGTTTACTTTTACATGGGTCACCATCTCGTGTAAAATGATCACTTTCTTGCACTCATTAAAAATTACAATCATCACACCTGACATTAAACACTAATAATATGGTAAAACTGACCACTCGCGCTGCATTTTGCTGAGTGGCAAGTAGATCTTTGTCTCCTTCTTGGGCAGGAGCTTCTTCTCAACGTCAGACTTGAGGCGACGCAGCAGGAAGGGCCGCAGCACAGAGTGCAGTCTCTCTACCAGCTTGTTGTCCTCCAAGCAACTCTCAGAGTTGAACCAAGCGTCAAAATCCTGTTGATCGTAGAGGTTAGCATCAACTCAACACACATAACTAAACTTACAAAGAATATGAAGCCCTTTCCTTCAGGAGGCAAGGGGCACAAAACCACACCCCACACAGGCACAAAACCTCTTGGTTCTGGAGACAGTTGCTACAACATCCATACAATCCTGAGCCAACATACAACCACTGAGACACATGAAATTTAAATAAATTAGTATTGAGTCGATTGTATTTGATATTATTGGTTTATTTTTTCACGTATCCTGCAAATAGATTGCAAATACAACCAAATACAAGGACAAGGGAACAGCTTTCATAGGCCATTGTTTAGGCTGTGTTGACCGAGAATGTGCTGGTCTTGGATGTAGCATAAGAAAAGTGAGTAATTCAAGTCAAGCTCTTGACATTACTTGCATAGAAGGGTATTTCCCTCAAGCTAATCTCTTGACACAAGTTGACAAGAAGAAAATGTCAGTCAAGCCAAGCTCTTCACATAAATTGATAAGAAGAGAATGGCTTTAATGCCAAGCACCGCTAAGAAAAAAATTCCGGTTACCAACTTCCTCCTGCAAGTGATCTTATTTATGGAATTACAATATACTCATACCATACCAACTAAGATCATTAATATGAAACCCAAGCAGAAGTGTACCTCGGAGGAGCTGAAAACCTCTGGCAGGAGGAAGTTAAGCAGGGCCCACAGCTCATGGAGGTTATTCTGCAGAGGCGTGCCGGTGAGCAGAAGTCTGTTCGAGGCTCGGAACTCGCGCACAATTTCGCTCAGTTTGCTCTTCTCGTTCTTGATGCGATGAGCTTCGTCGATCACCAAGTACCTGAGCAGCAGACACGTCAGACACATGGTACCTGAGCAGCAGACACTTCTGTCAACACGTCAGTCACATGGCACCAGAGCAGCAGACACGTCAGACACATGGCACCTGAGCAGCAGACACTTCGTGTCAATACGTCAGTCACATGGCACCTGAGCAGCAGACACTTCGTGTCAACACGTCAGTCACATGGCACCTGAGCAGCAGACACATCAGACACATGGTACCTGAGCAGCAGACACTTCTGTCAACATGTCAGTCACATGGCACCAGAGCAACAGACACGTCAAGTCAACACGTCAGTCACATGGTACCTGAGCAGCAGACACTTCTGTCAACATGTCAGTCACATGGCACCTGAGCAGCAGACACGTCAAGTCAACACGTCAGTCACATGGCACCTGAGCAGCAGACACGTCAGACACATGGCACCTGAGCAGCAGACAACTACAAATGCAGTACCTATAATTAATATACCACTGAGCATGAACAGTGGTAAGCTGTACACTGAGTTATGGAGGTAACCCACTCAGCAGTGGACATCACAAATGATCTACCTCCAGTTGAATTTTTTAAAGACGCTCTTCTCCTTGATGCACATCTCGTAGGAGGTGATGCACACGTCCCAGTCGCCGGGCATCATCACGTCGCGGATGAAGTTTGCCTAAGGATTATAGATGCAATCATTCATAAAGTTTGTTCATTAATCCAACTGCAAAATTTAGGCATACGTAAAGAGATGTACAAAACAAATATTATTGACTCCATTACACAAGTATTTGGAGTCAAGTAATCCCAAGTCCAGAATGCAAATGCTTCACTCAAATGAAAAATCGTTTTTCCAGTGTTTATCCTGGCAGGTTTCAACTCTCACGGCTAAGTAAACCTCAGTGGCTGCAGACTTACTCAGCAAGGTGGCCAAACAAGCATGATGCCTAAATTAATTATTTTAAAGAGCATAAAACATCAGAGCAAACATTTGGTCACAGCGCGAGCAGCACCTCAGCAGAGGGCGCTCCAGCCCTCCTACCATTCGCCTTTGACTCATCACTTGACACACTCAGCACGAGCAGTATGGTGACAACAATGAAAGTTATAAATCAAAGTTTGAAGATATAGATGATAGAAAATTGAAGACAAGAACTGACCCTGGCAATCTGGTCGCCGATGAGGCACACGGCCCTGATGCTGGGGCACCAGCGCCTGAACTCGTTCTCCCAGTTACGTAGGGTGGACTTGGGCACAATAACCATGTGGGGGCCGTTGATGTTGCGGTAGTGCTTCATGTACCTGCACACGTGACACGTCAGGGATGTAGGATGCACTTGCAATGTAAGGGTAGGAGTTATTAGAGTTAAGGTTTGCATGATCAGGACGTGAGAAAAAGACAACAATATTCATTCAAACATAAGGCCAATATAAAGTTGATCCAGCTAGTATTGCCTAGACATGACGCACCCCATGAGCGAGATGGTCTGCAGGGTCTTGCCGAGCCCCATCTCATCAGCCAGGATGCCATTGATGCCATTCTCAAACAGCCCAATCATCCAGTTCAGCCCGCGGATCTGTAGGGCATAAAGCTCCATAACAACGCAGTGTGGCCAACTAATGCAGTGCAGTATACACGCAGTTGCTTAATGGCCGAGTCAAGCTTGTATACTAAATAACAATTTGAACTATCATTTGTATAACTTTGAAGATTGAAATGCAGAACTGCAGAGATCCTTGCTATTTTCAACATGCTCATATTAAAACTAACTTCTACTGCTCTAACATCCTCGACTGTCTTAGATTAATTAGTAAAGGAGATCTATTGAGACAACCTGGCATGTGTATACAAACTGATGGTGAGGAACTATGACTCACCTGATAGTCCCTCATCTCGCCCCCCTCTATGTAGGTGGGGGACTCCTCAAAGCGGGTGATGAGCTTTGTGTTCTTGGAGCTCTCCGCCAGGAGGGCCTCATCCTCCTCCTGCTCCGTCATGCGGTGCCGGTGGCTGCCAACACAATGTTGTTAGGGACACACTAGCTTAAATGTTGTCGTAACACACACCCCAGTGAGAACAGCTTATTATGACACAAATTCATTGTTAGCTGGCTTATGGTCTACAATTCTTTTTATTGTATATTCAGAAATTGGGAACAATTAATGGGAACAAAGTATAGTCAAATTAAATTACTGTACTTTTATGTGCCCTAAATGTAGGTGAAATTAAGCTGACGATTCTTAACCCAGCTGTTGAACTGAACCATCCAGACGAGAAACAGCCAGCCATTAAAATAAAAGTTCAGTCAAATTAGCCTTCATCAATTTGCCACATGGAAGGCCAAATGAGCTATAAAACAGTTATACTATTTTCATTTTTGGCTGAAAATTTTCTTTAAAAACATTGTGGGGAATTTGTACCAGAAATCTTGTAAACAATTTACCTGGTATCAGTGATATCAAAAGTTATTTCACATACTAGGTTGATGATGCACAAAGAACAATGTTTAGAAAAAAAATATAGATAATTTAAAGGAAAACAGAACAATTGAGGCTGTAAGCAGCACCAGCAGGTTGCTCTTGGCAAGACATAACCACTAGGTGCCGTAAGCAGCACGAGCAGGCTGCTCTTGCCAAAACTCACTCTCCTGCAGATGCCTTCCTCTCGGAAGGATTCTTCTTTGGTCGTCCAGGCTTGCACTTGAGTGGCGATGAGGGTGCCTTATCCCTCATGCCAGCCATGAAGTGCGAGAAGATCTCTGTCTGCTTCAGCAGGTAGTCAAAGCGCTTGCCTCTGTCCGTCTCCTGCAAAACAAAGATCAATTTAGGAGCATCATGTTTGGTGATGCATCACATTATACCTACTTGATCAATTATGGGACTTAATAAATCATTACATTTGATCATTGCAGTTAATTAATCATGACAGTTGATCAATTTTCATCATTATATTTGATAAATTATTTCATCAGAGCAGACGAATGATCACACTGCCATGACTAATTACTTCAAATATATATACACACAAATCACAACATCAATTCATCCAAACTACACTTTCTAATTCAATATAAATGAAATCTAAATTTCAGACATCGGTGAATATTGACCAACCAGGAAAAGCAAGCATTCATGTCACAAGCTAGGTGCTTACAAACACTAAAAAAACATTCAACAGCCATACAATAATATTGGCAGATGATACAGCTTTCAATTATATCTATGTCTGCTAGGAATGACTGGCCAACCCTCAGCAGGTTCATTGCAAGACTATTACAATTCACCATCTTATTGCAAGACTATTGCGATTTGCAATCTCAGTGCAAGACTATTACTATTTACCATCTCACTGCAAGACTATTACTATTCACCATCTCATTGCAAGACTATTACAATTCACCATCTTATTGCAAGACTATTACAATTCACCATCTTATTGCAAGACTATTACAATTCACTATCTCATTGCAAGACTATTACAATTTACCATCTCACTGCAAGACTATTACAATTCACTATCTTATTGCAAGACTATTACAATTCACTATCTCATTGCAAGACTATTACAATTTACCATCTCACTGCAAGACTATTACAATTCACTATCTTATTGCAAGACTATTACAATTCACTATCTCATTGCAAGACTATTACAATTCACTATCTCATTGCAAGACTATACAATTCACCATCTCATTGCAAGAACATAATAGACAAACATTAGTTATAATTATACTATATATCATAATAGATAAATAATAGTTAGTAGTTACAATTACTCTGTATAACATAATAGACAAACATTAGTTATAATTATACTATATATCATAATAGATAAATAATAGTTAGTAGTTACAATTACTCTGTATAACATAATAGATAAACATTAGTTATACCATCAAACGGGGTAAAAAGGGACAGGCCGGGTAAAGTAAGACGAGCGTCCCACATTTCATAGAAATGTTGTAGCAGCTAAACTAATCCAAATACTGCAAAACTAAAAATAGTGGCGTAAACTTCAACATTTTTATCATCTATTATTAGCTAGTCAAAAAACCAAACGTTTTACTATCTCTAAAAAATTGGTGAAAAAAAGTGTGATAAGTGCAATTTTGGAAAAGTACTTCTACTAAGGTCTGGAGCAAAAAAATATTCACCGTACTAAAAAATTTTACTTACATAAAAGTTGCACACAGGTGTCTGCTTGTACAAGTAATTGACTGAATTTGCTTACCTCACTCCAAAAAAAATGGCAGCCATTTCCGCACGACGGGGTAAAAAGGGACACCCCTCGGGCCTCGGGGGTAATTAGGGCATCAGAGGATCTGATGTAAATGCATTTACATCAGATCCTCTGTTAGCAAAGGCCAGTGTACTCAGCACAGTTAAGATAAATATAGGCTAATCACAAAGATTTTTGCTTAAATTTTAAATTGAAGCACGAATCTAAATTTAAATAAAATCTTCTTGGGGAGCAGAACAGCCTGGATAATAGGCAGAACTCCTAACATCCAGCCTCCAGGTCACTCAATGGCAATGCAATGGTCACTCCCTAAAAAAGTTTGCTGAGCTCCTTGTCATTACATTACATCTAAAAGGAAGAGGAGGACTTTGTAGTGCTGCTGGTAATAGGTGAGTACACTCTGTATGCTTCAAATGTTTAAAATTGAGTTTTATTTCAAGTGTCCCTTTTTACCCCATTCCCAGATAAATTCAGGAGCCTTCTATATTGCGTCTAGCACTTTACAAATAGCATATGGAATTTGTTTGAAGATGCCATACTTCCTTGAATTCATTTTTGAGTCCTATAACTAGGTAGACCAGTCAAGTATCTTGGATACAAGAATTATCATAGGCTACATAAGAAATCTGTTAAAATCTTGAGTAAATGAGGAAATTAAAAATGAACTAATTCTAAAAGATCATTGGTTTGCCACTATGGTGGGCATAGTGGCAAAGCAGAGAATTTGGGCAGATTAACTTAACTTCAAGACTGAAGGCTTTGCCTTTCCAAAATGGGCTCCTAACAAAATACATTCGAAGAATTAAAGTAGGTAATTCGTTGAGAAGAAATTTGATTACATACTTTATATATTAAACACCATTCATAATACTTATATTTATGTTCAATAATAACTTATTTTGCTGCCTATTGCCTATGATGTTGACAAATTCTCCAGCTGATTCAATTCACAACTTCGCTACACTTTCAGTGATAAGTGATTGCATGTTTTACACAGGAAATGAAAAAACATGTATTTTTTGGAAAGTGTGATGGCTTAGAATTAGAAATACTCACAGAGTTGTCTTCAACATCCATGGTCTCAGGCTGTTCTTCGGTCTCGGACATTTTATACTCTAATCTATGCGAAACTTTAGAGTGTAAATATAACAGGAGTCACAACTTCCCACACGACACACCTGCGACAACGATCACCTCAAAACAATAGGAACGAAATAGTTGCGGCGTTTGCAGGGCAGCCAACCTCAATGAATGGCGGGGATTTTTAAGTCCAATGTTGACAACAAAAATATAATTTTTCAACATGCAACCTATAAAAGTTTTGAACCTTAATTTGAAATGGCAAAGATTGAGATGAGAAAAAATTTTTAGATAGTTTCTTCAGTGACAATATTGCATGACATCTCATTCATACGCATCATGAAAAATTTATCTGATAAAAAGTCATTTGAAACTTTTAGAATAAAATTTAATCTGTAGAGTTTCACTAAAGTGACCGCACGGACAATTTTGGCTAGCTAATTGCTTTCTGAAATAATTTGGCTGACCGCTTCGTTTTCATATACGTAGTGTTGTGCTATACGCTAAGTTTTAGCTCCATTTTCGCAACCAAAGGTGCTTAATATTTCACATATTAACATCGGTCTACCCGTGGTAATCAACATGGGTCTACAGCTCGGATACTTCTGACACGGATTTTCATAACATGTTTTCCACGCATAGTTTTTTGCATCGGAAATAGGAAAATAAATAAAACTGAGAGGGAGGCTGATAGAAAAATCAATCACAAGAAGAGCTGCGGCGGTCAAAGTGGAAGCCAGGGTTTCACTTAGCCAAAGTGCCATATGTGCCTCAGTTGAATTAATTCGACGAGGTTGTACGCTAACAACTGCTTCTCCAGCTGCAGTTGCTCGAGGCGCCAATGGCACTTCGTGACCTCAGGACTATCTTTCACCTCACTTTTCTTTTTTCTTTTCAAATTTGCGGGAGCCTCTGAAGACTAGTCCAATGTGGCCCCACGGCCGATACCTCACTTTTCCTTCTTGGAGCATTTATTTGTTATCAGCCTTTCCTCTTAGCTCGTCCTTACTATGCCGATCTCGTAAATTTACTGTTTTAAATAACGTACTTGGTTAATCCGTAGAATTTTATACTTCCATTTTTTTCTGCTGGACAATTATACGTTCTACGTCAACAATACGAGAAAACAAAAACTATTCTCAGTTCCGACATAATTGTAACACTGTTCTTCCTTCAACGTTGGATTTCTAAAAAGAATGACGATTGAATTCTTTTGAGATGAGGATGCCATGTGATATATCTAGGAAAATTGAGCTACACATGGGCAGGTGGAGATACTGCAGAGACACCCGGACTCGAGATGCTGCCGTCACGACACCCATCATGAGGTTGGCACATGACCCCTTCTAGCACATGTAAGGAGGAAAATGAATACTGAATAAAAGCTTGCAATAATTTACTCGTTGAACACACAGTTCAACGCAAACTCGTTGAACACAGCCCAACTCGCAATTATGTTTGACAGGGCGCATGAAGTAGCCGTGTCAGGTACAACTCGACGCGACCTTGAGGCTACCAGACAAGCGGCGGCCAGCCATGATCGGCCGTCTTACATACAGCAATTGGCAGTCTAGCGCTGAAAACTCAGAGTCGACAAGGTTTAGGAACAGCCTGGTTGATTGCTGGAGTCCGAGCATTCATATGCTGACGTGAACTCGTGCTGTCGGTAAGGCGCTTGCCCTTCCCTCTCCGTGGACGACTATGCGCCGTCAAAAAGGCCGAGTGATTGTGAGGTCGCAGAACCCTCACTTTTGATAGTGACAAGAGGCGTGATGTCTAATAGTATGTTGAACAGAGCAGCCTTATAAGTAATAATAATTACATTTTGCCGCGGCGCTTGAGCTGCAAGCGCTCATACCTAATGGTAGACCTGACTCGGTAATTGTATGTTACAGTTAGCGAAGTAGCTCTTGAACAATTAAGTCGTAGCAGCTCAGGCCCGGTGGCAAATAGTTAGGTAGATTTCTTCAACAGCATCCATTGCATTACCAGCATAACAACGAATCAACAGAATAGTAGTCCAAAAATCTCAACAAACACTAATGCTAACAAACGGAGCTAGTCTTCCAGTCGTGCTAAGGCACTAATGCTAACAAACTGAGCTAGCCCCGTATATTATGCAGTCGTTCTAAGGCAATTCGTTTACAAGGAACCCAAGTCCGCTTAGAAGGCCTGGAATAGCACCGAAAGTAAAGCGTGTTTACAAAGATATATTTATAAATCTAAGTAAAAGTACGTAAAATATTCTGTAATAGGATATAATATAATAAACATTGGAGAAGTTATGAACAGTTGCACTTTCATACTCAGGTAGGAGGCATTGAGTCACGCCCAAAAGATACTCTTGCGTAATCGCAATTCTGCTCTATTGCTGTTCAGTAGCAGGATGTACGCCTCAGAGCTGCCATCAATCGATTGTGTTCGATTGTAATAAGTTCGCTAAAATGTTGAAGCCCCTCGTTGTTTCTAAAACATCATTTAAACACCTGTTACCAGCCATACTCCCGAAGGTCTAAGCACATGATATCCATTTATCAAAATACATAAAAGTTTGTAATCAATTTAAAAAAAAAATGAAATAAAGTAATGTAACATTAAAATTGCAAGATAACGATTAATTGTTATGTCATGTAACAGGCGAGTTCAGTTAACTATTCTCCTGACATTGCCAACTTATTATATTAAGCTACGGAATGTTAAATGGCCGTGCGATGCCGAAGTACAGCAGCGGCGTGTGATGCTATTGTGCGCCATCTACTTACAGTGCGTGCCTGCACCATATTATAGTGCTGACAGTGCGCGCCTGCACAACATTATAGTGCTGACAGTGTGTGCTTGCACCATATTAAAGTGCTGACAGTGCATGCCTGCACTATATTATAGTGCTGATAGTGCGTGTCTGCACCATATTATAGTGCTGATAGTGCGTGTCTGCACCATATTATAGTGCTAGCAGTGTGTGCCTGCACCATATTATAGTGTTAGCAGTGCGTGTATGATGCAATTCACTGCGGTGCCTGGTAGTCGCTCTTGCCGCCCTGCTTGGCCACGAGGCGCACGCCGCAGATGGTGATGTGGTGGGTGACCGCCTTGCACATGTCGTACACTGTCAGCGCCGCAACACTCACAGCCGTCAGCGCCTCCATCTCCACACCCGTCGGTCCTGAGCACTTCACCCGCGCCCTCAGGTGCACGTAGCAGGGACGACCTTCGTCGGGTGCTAGGGGCTCCCCAGCTGCAGTTGTAATAAATTCAGAAGCAGAGGAAGGTTGTGAAAAGTTGGGATCATTGGCATTCTCTGCTCTGCTGCCGGCATCTGAAGGAACCTCTTCGCCCTGAGGAGCCCATTGATAGTCCTCGTGTTCACTCAACTCAGCGTCCACGTGGACGTGGCTGAGGGCGAGGAGATGGCACAGGGGGATGAGGCTAGCAGTGTGCTTGGCTGCCATGGTGCCTGCAATGCGCGCCACGACAAGCACGTCGCCTTTCTTCATCTTGTTTTTCTTGATGAGTTGAAAGCAATGAAATGGAACCTGGACCGTAGCCACGGCCACAGACGACCGCAGAGTCGTGGTTTTGCCACTCACGTCCACCATGGCTGCCTGACCACGACCGTCCACGTGGCTGAGCACATTAGCGGAGACAAACGTGGACTCGGTGGACATGTGGCGCACGTCAGGAAAATCGTGACGAGGAATAGGGGCTGAGAATAAGGAGCGGCAAGACGACGATGAAAAGAAATTATAAGAACTGGACAGAGCAAGCGATGACGTATGTGACGACGAAGATAAATGTGACAACGAGGAAGTATGTGGAGAGGAAGATGTATGACAAAGGGAAGAGTGAGAAGAGTGCCGAACACCTACTGAAGAAAACCCATTCAGGGACTGTGTGCCGTAGTACGCCGAGGAAGTGGAGCCCAGCTGGGGAGGATCCAAACGCGGACAAAAAAATAAAGAGATGCCAGGAGCATCCATCTGCAGAGATGACGTCAGCTGCCTGATATCCATGCGGGTGCGGGAAGAAACTGATGAGCCTTCCTCATGGAGAGATGACGTCGGCTGGAAGACACACGACGGATCTACGGACATAAAATATCAATCAATTATTTCTTCATGAGGCAAACAGGCTTTTAAACTACAGGATCGGCCAGCGAAGTAGGGATGAGTTGAGCGGCACGAATGGTGAGGTGGAGATGACATCAAGACAGGAGTGTGGGTATCTCCTCGGCAAGAGACGGAATTTTTGTAGCAACTTAAACGCGGTCGATAGACAATCGAGTGTGTGTGTGCAAAACATTCATTGAAACCAGTTTTCTGCCATTAAAATGCAGAGAAGTCTGCAAAATCATTGCAATGTTGCCGTCATTCTCGTGCTCAGAAGTTTGACTCGATAATGAAGTGGACAAACAAATCTGACTTAACAATATTGAGACCAAAGACGGCACGAAAAGTTAATGAACCAGTGCCTACCCTGCAACACAACGACCGTCTGTGTCAAGCAAATGAACAAGCCGACGGTCCATTTAAGTGTCGAGGGCTTCAATTGCTCAACGAACAAATATGCGGTTTGGCGGGACGTGAGCTGTTTAATCAGCTCATTAAACAGTCCCGAGTCTCACAGCATCAATTTGTTCAAAGTTATTCGCCCACTTCTTAGTTGTGTCAAACTTTAAAAAACGACCATGACGACTAACGTTGAAATGATTCCATAAATATATTGCTGTTACAATGGAAGAACGTTCTGTTTCAATAAATTTGTTACACACAAAAAAAAAAAAAACACGAAGCTCTATCGACCACGTCCCCGCTGAAATTGCCCCCTCCTGTCGAGCAGATAGCCACACTTCTTCTCTACGCCTCACATGGCGTGCCACTCAAACCATCCATACATCCCAGCCATCCCTGTATTTACAAGGCCTGAGTATCTCTACCACTTATAATATCAGAGTGCAATGCAGGCAATGGTGGCGCTTACGTTCTTCATGTTGCATATTCTTCTATGCGACAGACGCACAATGTCTTCAGAGGTGATAAGGAGTGCAATGAGGAACGTAGGAGGGAGTAATGAGCGTGAGGGTAGTGAGCGTGAGGGTAGTGAGCGTGAGGGTAGTGAGCGTGAGGGTATAGGAGCGTGAGGGTAGTGATGGCTACGACCACAACTCACAGGAAGGAGGGTAAGAGCAGGAGGCTACCCACCGATGAGGATCATGGGCCTGTTCTTCTGCGTCGCCAGGACGGCCATGCCTGCACAGTATTTTCAACACGGTCAATAGTGGAGTGCAGCCACCTGCTATGAGACATCCTGCGAATAGTGAAGCCATAGGTTTTTTATGATAGTGAGGCCATAGGTATTTCAAAAATAGTGAAACCATAGGTTTTTTTATGATAGTGAGGCCATAGGTATTTCAAAAATAGTGAAGCCATAGGCATTTATATGATAGTGAAGCCATGAGTAATTCTCTAGAGGCCAGACCTGCGTGCTGCTTCTTCTTGCCTCTGACGGCGGCGCCGACGAGGGCGAGCAGCTCCTCGTCTGTGGCACCTCCGCGCACTGCGTCCCTGCGTGACAAGAGTGACGTGACAAGAGTGAGGTGACAAGAGTGACGTGACAAGAGTGTGACGTGACATGAGTGACGTGACAAGAGTGACGTGGCAAGAGTGACGTGACAAGAGTGGCGTGACAAGAGTGACGTGGCAAGAGTGACGTGACAAGAGTGACGTGACAAGAGTGACGTGACAAGAGTGGCGTGACAAGAGTG